TTAAAAGTATTTTAGTCATTAATACAAGTATCCTTGTGCCATTACAAATGAAAAATCAATTCTTGCAAGAGAAATAAAATTCCTATCCCGATTTTGAACCTGACATGCATGCATTTTCTTTATGCTGGAGAAAATTTGAGGTATTGATTGTTCAGGCAAATAACATAGACTAGAGAGATACAACCAGAAAGCGAAAAGGTATGCCGATACTTCATTAGCCTCAAAATACTTCCAGTCTTTTTTTTCCTATTGCTATAAAACCTGCAGGAGTTGCAATCCCAAACGAACAACATTCTTGATTCTTACTTACTGGATACCAACCCACTGCAATATTGATGTGCTGGAGAACCAGAGCTGACTTCTGGCATGTATTATTCAACTGGTTACGCAACAGTTGCTAAGAAAACACTTTCCCTAACTCCTTTATTCTGAATTACTACCTCCTTTACTCTGTATTACTATTCGTATTTTCAGTGGGACCAACTTGGGTCTTAACAGAATTGACAAATTTCTGTAATCACAGTAAATAACATGGCTATTTGTTTATTTAGAGGAGGAGCACTTTTTGCTTTCTGAGACACTGGAATAATTTAAGAAGTCATGACGTTTTCAAGTATTTCATAAAGGAAAAACTCTTTATGATTTGCTAGTGACAATTTCTCCCCCATATCTCCACGTACACATTCTTTGGGCTGGACTGACAAGCCCTTGTGGTAGTGCAGCTCCTCATCCTCAGCCTACTCCAAAAGCCGTGTGAGTCTCTATGAACTAAATTACCACTTGGCATGAGTAATTTTATCAAAATCTGGTCTCTTACAGGTGTGGTAAATTCCTCTGTAGTGTAGCGTTTCCATTCATTAGTATTTCACTGACTGTGTAAGCACATCTAGCCTTCACTAGTTCATCCACTTTGCAAATTGATTTTAATAGAACTGTCAGGTTAGATTTTGTCTGATTGATAAATAACCAATCTTCAAGGAGGAAAGGATCAAAGTGCATCAATTTGATTAATTTTCCTATTTGTTTCATAATATACATGCTTAAAAAAACCCCAAAACAACTCACTGACGCTTTTTAGAGCTAATAACAAGAACGTAGTCTCATGTCTACAGTGCAATAGTCTTTTTCCAGAAAGGTGATCAAAGCTGCTGCCATTTTCTTCAAGCAGCTATATCCCCTTCTACAAGCAAAGAGGTATCAGAGGTGAACTATTGAGGACTAAACAGATTACATGCCTTCCTGTTACAAACCGTTGTCCTCCAGGAGAAAGACAGCTACCGTAGTGACAATGCTAAGGAAATGTAGGTTTTAATAGGTTTATTATTTTATTGAGAATCTCAGGAGATGTTTCAGCAAGGCTGCAGATCAAAGACGTAATTATTTTTTAGCCTTTGAGGTTGCTGAAAGTGTTCTCCCTCTCACTTAGCTTTGGTTTGATTTCTCTAGCAGCCACCTTCTGTAAAGCAGGACCGTCTGCTCCAGAGGAGATTGTTCTCTCTCCAAATGGTCTGCTCTCCAAAGAAACATGCCAGTCCCTGCCTTTACGGACATAAATCTTCAAATGACACACGTGTATTTAGAAATAAAACTTACTCCAAAAGCAGAAAATGATTTCAAAAAAGGAATTAGTATTATGGGGTGTGGTTTTGTATCTCGGGAACAATCTTTCATAACAGAAGCAACACTAAGCACAGGGAAAGAACACTTACGATTCAGAACGTTTGCAGCCTTACACATTTTGTGTCTCATATAGACTCTATTTTTAGTTACAGTATTATTACCACTGGAAAGCCCTTTCAGTTTAAAGGCTCTAAATCCACATGCTTATTGTAGACAGCCTTGCAGTTGCCACATGGAAATTTCAACGGGACACACAAAAAACTACGTGTTCTTTTATAAAAGCCCCTGTTGCTTTGCAGGGAATGGAAGTGACAGGAGCTTCCCTGGGAGGGCCAACAAGTTTGCCTCCTTGCTTATCATCAAATATCTTCTGGAGATAGCAGGGAGGCTGAAAAGCAGCATTTCTTATTAGGAAGTTTATCTTTTTCCGTTGTCTACCTATTTGAGAATTCAACATTTATCAGCAATGCAGTTTTTATACCACAGATGAGTGCACCAATTTCCTGTCTGCCTTACTTCACGCATTCTAATATTCACGTATTGACTTAACCACCTTTTCCATTTCACTATTTTCCATAATATTTTGGGAGAAAAAAATTGATCTCCTGATATCAGAGGGAATATTTTAAAGATTAAGTTTAGCAAGTGCTGCAAAAATAGCATGTTTTCTGCTTAAAGGGGAACATCACACATTGCACCCCTCCAGATAAAATAGAATCAGATCGAACAACTTCAACACTGTGAGAAATGCAAACTTGAGAGTGTGCAAAACAAGAATCTGAACCTGAACCTTTTTTTGGTACAAGCCTGATACGTTATACCAGTTCAAAAGGTCCCTGAACAACACAGCATTAAAACTTTTATTATTCTAGCAGGTGGCACATTATCATTCTTACAGACTGATAATTTTCCTTATTATCCCCTTGACTGCACATGTAACACAGCAATATGAACCTAATAATGCCTATAAACATTTCCATTAACAACAGAGCTTGCTATTTAGGCACACAGAATGTGGTACCAGACTGGTGTAATTGATTTTTTTTTTAATTGATGTATTGTGCTACTGTATATGACTACTGAATTTTGACAACAATGACGACGAAACCAAACAGTGCTACAGGGCTTTAACCCGTAACTTCTTAGTGTATTTATTTAGATATTAACCCACCTAAGTTTTTTCATCTGTCCCAGTGACAGCAGAACTCCTTAACAGGAAGTAAGCTCAAAAATAGATTATTATAAAAGAATCCAATCACAAATTATTTCACTCTACGCATATACAAGCTTTGTACTTTGATACACATGCAATCAACTGAGGTAGGAAATTAACACAAGTATTTAAAAAGGTGCCAAGTTATTCAAAACTCCTATAAGCTGCAATTTTGTCTCCTCTGCTGTCATACTATTATCAGTTATATTCCTCAGAAGATACAGAAAGGACCTGTATATTAATAAACTTATTACCATCTTCCCAGAGAAACTGCTGCGCTCTCTGAGATGCACGGAAGGAGCCTGCAAAACTGTCCCTAACTCTCCTGTGCTTAATAAATGATCAGAGTTCATTTAAAAAAGAAGAATTCCTACAAGTTACACAGGTAGTAGCTGCAGTCAGATTTTGCATGGCCATGCACAAGCCCAGTTGGGGACCCAGGTCGCTCTGTCACATCGTATTTGTATATGTTCCTTCACCCCTCCTTATTTCGAGAGCAGAAGCGTGTATCATTGCTCCCGCCACTCCCAAATGCTTGAAAGCTTGAGCTTTGCTTCTGCTTTGAAGGAAAACAAAGAACAAAATCCTACTCAGACTTTCCCTAAGGAACGGTAGCAAGCATTTTGGTCTGACCGCATGACAGGCCAAAAGCATCGAGGCTAGGAGCTAGCAAAACGTGATTTCAAAGAGGTTCATAGGCTGGTACAGAAGGAGCTGCTCTTGCCAAAGGGACTGCCAGTGCCACCACTAACACCCCCCAAAAAATGAGGGGGGTAGGAGAGGCAAATAAATAATTCTTACCATGTGAGTGCAAGCCTTGTATTTAGAAATAGATTAAATAATACTAAGGGACAGAAAGAGCTTTATGACACGCCTGTGTAAAAACACGCTGCGGTTTGGAAAGCCCACTCTCCATTCTACACGAAACACACTGATAAATACACAATGATCTACTACTTTAAAACAGACTACTGCCGTTCCTTTCTCCTTTATTTGCTCCTCTGCTTACCAATAAATACAGCAAAACCTATACAATTTTCTGTGCCATTAGACAACAGCTTTAGGGACAACTCCAGACTGTTTGCAAAAGAACCAAGTGTAATTCTGCTCTGTTCTCATTAGAGACTGCCTTTACTGAACTGACTTTTGCAGTCTGTTCACGCAAGTTTCACCTGCAGCAAAACTTACGGCTTTGTACAATTTTGCTCAAAGTAAAATTAATAGCTTACTACATTTAACAAGTTTGCAACTAAATATTGATACGATCACCTCCTTTTCCTCTTAATCCTCAAAAGGGCAAAGAAAGCAGAAAATACTGAAAATGTCGTATACTTGCAAAACTGGGACTCGGTAACCAGACGAAGGTACATTTTGAGATTTCCTGTAAAGACACAGTCTTCACAACTAACTGATAGGTGCTTTGATCACTTGGCTCAGTTAAGACGAACTGCAGACTGTTGTCGAGTCAGACTGTAAAATTAAGGACACAGCAGCATGTACAAAAGAGGAGGGAAGCCAATTCTCCTCAACAATGGTAGGATTTGAAAAAGTCAACCCCACAGAAGTGGTTTATGTCTTTTCCCAGTAGTAGGAGCTGAATGAGATCAGCACTGGTTATGTTTCAGAAGCTTTCTTTTTATTCAGTAGCAGAGCTCTGGAGTGAGCTTCCTTTTTTCTTTTCTTTTTGAATCATCCCTGAACAAAAAAAAACCCAAAACAAACAAAAAAAAAACCAAAAAAGCCAAACAAAACAAAACAAAAAAAGGCAAAACCACAATGCAAAAATTGCTACAATATATGGAGATTATTTGTTTGTTCTCCTTTCTCCCAATATTCAGTACTCAATTATTTGTATCTATATGATTCTCTAGCATGGGTTGTGAACTGCAGAAAACATGAAATATAGACCAAATGCATTCTCAGGACAACTGAGTTTGTAAAAAGCAAATGTACAAGTGGTACTTAGTTTGTTCACACAATATCAATGTGACATGAAATGGTAGAACTCTATCACCATTCATTCCCTTTTCAAAAATACTTAAAATACTTCACACCCTTCTTCCCTGTGATTGTGCTAAATGATGCCTGACAGGCTAAAACATAAAAAAGAAAAATGCAGGAAAGACAAGTAAGCCCACCCCACATTTTCTCTAGAGCTTTTTGTTACTAAGCAGTTTTCAAAAGCATATGGAAATATGAATTCAGCCAAAATTACCTTAATAACCAAGTCAAACTTCTGGTGTAAATCCCTATTTATTGGCTTTAGGAGCGTGAGTACAGCTGTTGTGAGATTCATATGGAAATACTGTGGATAATCCTCCGGAGTACCTGTAAAAAAGACATTGAGGTTCGAACAAATGCTGTTTCTGAAAGATTTAGTTAAACAATATATTTATTTTACTCATTAGTCATCAACGGAACAAAACCTAATCCTGCTATTATAAGGATAAAATACTGCATCGTGTGTACATGGAGCTTAAGGGTACTACTAATATTATGCATTTAATATTACCATTATTTCCTTACTCTCCCTAACCATGAAGATTCTTCTCAACTGGGAATCCCTAAGTACTTGTTAACAACAGAGCCCAAACACACCTGCAGCTGGTGGAAATTCTGCTTCTCGGCTTCCAGGAGATACGTATAAATCTAATCAGATAAGAGGACATATGGAGAAATGAGCTTTCACTGCAAATCATCTTCCACTTGTATGCACCCAACCTGCTAAACACATACCACCAAGATTTTCTCTCTCCAGCTTTGAAGTACGTTTGTTTCCCCTGAAGTATCGCCAGACATACACTGATGTTAGTCTCAGAGAACACTATGAACTGTTTTTTGAGTGCACGCATTCAAACGAAGAAAATACACAGTGAGGTGATGTGACAAAGATATTACCACTAAGTTCATGATAGCCATGCTATCGCTCAAAGATTTGCAATTTAAAATGCACATTTTAAATACCTTAGTTCTTGTAGCCCTCTGTTGCACCTATGGACAAGCTCTTTAATGCATTAATAATAACATATACATAAGTAATAACACCAGACATGTTATTTTAGAAATCCTTCTAAGAAAAGAAGTTTCTCATTAGAGAGGAAGCACCACATGAAACCTCATCTGTGTCTAACAGCTTCCATTTATTGTCAGCAGTAAATAGTGTCTTCATGGCTGTGAGTTTCCAGGATACTCTCCAACCCGGTTAAAAGAGCAGCAGTCAGAGCCTGAACAGATTTGCAAACCCAGGGAGATCCAGCCAGGGCTACGCAAAGGATGCGGACAGCCGTGCCCTTGCTGTGCCGGGCCCCTAGGCTGGCCAGCGAGGCAGCTGCAGCCCAAAAACCTTCCCATGGTACCGTGCTCAAGCCAAAAGGCTCTAGCAGCATAACCCGACACAGAAGGCATAAGAATTAAGCTACAGTGATTTCGAGCCGCATGATTCTCAAAGAGAGTACACCAAAAAGTAGCAGTGGTGGAACATTAATTGCCAGGGCAGGATGAAGCGATAAGCGTATGGGATACTGTTCAGCAACAGTCTGTCACCTATCGGGAACAGAGGCTATACCATTTTTTTTCTAAAAGACAAAGGGATATTCTCTCCTCATTTGCGTGGCAGAAAACTGTATCCGCCTTCTCTAGCCTCTGTGTCTCATCCCAGTTTGTTTTAGTTTACCTGTCCAACTTTTCCCCGAGCCAGCCTGACTCTCGGCTGGGGAGATGTGAGAGTGCAAATCTGAACAGAGCAGCGCTCAGAAGGTCAGTGTTCAGAACCAGCATGAACTCTGGCATCTCACAGCTTATCAGTAACACTAAAAGTATCCAAAGAAACCAAAATACAGATTACAAGTCTAAGATCTCGAGTCATTTTAGGTCTAGGAACAGTCCTGTGCAGAAGCTGAGAGGCAGAAAGTGCTCCTGGCTGATGGTATAAATGCCCCAGTAAGTCCTCCGAGCTCATCGCTTACGATATCTTAAAGCAGCCATGAGAGCAGGACAAATATTGCTGTGCCAATACAGCGTAACAGGGCGTAAGATTCAACACAAAAAAGACCACTTTTCTGATAAATGATCCTATTATTTGTTCACCTTTCAAGTGGAATGATTAGAAACTGCTTTTAGAAAGTCAGTAGCTATCCCAGGAGATAGATTACCGTCCTAAGTCATGTGCAATACTTTTAATTTGCAACTCATCATACACCAATCATCTGCTATACTGTGTGTATATTGTGCATATATATGGTGTGTGTGTATATTATGTGTGTGTATATACACACACACACTGTACATATTCTGCAAATATCTCTCTATATGCGTACGCCATACTCCCAGAGAGCAGTAACAGAAGAACCACTATGGATTATTTTTTCTGTTATACCACCAACATAGATACAGAGTTTCTAGCTCCAAGTCCTCCCTCCCCTTCCCCCCCTTTTAATTTCAACTCCTAATTAACTGATCTAATTTTTAAGAGCACTAGGCATCCAGCAGGAGCTCCAAGCTTTTGGCAGATAACAGATTGCTGTAGTCTTAGGAGGCTGCACGTCACAAGGGCTGAGGCTGAAGCTAAGAAAAACCAAGAAATGAAAGACTAAATGCAGAAGTAAAAACCAAGACGTTCCCCGAAGGAGAACAAATACATAGGGGAGGATGGAGACAGCTGTAAGAGGCACACAGTGACCTACATCAGGGAAGATGAAGCCAATATTGTGTAAGGCTGCCAGGAAAGAATCCAAGGAAAAAAAAACCAAAACCACCAGGTAAAGGAGGAAAAGACAGCAAGAAAGACGACCAGAAAAGTAAAGATTAGAGTATAATAAAGCTGGATTGCCTGAATCCTAACTGATGATGTCTGCTCAGCTGCTGCCTACCACAGGAAGAGTCCAAACTCCAGGATACCTGAAGTTCTGAAAGTAAAGTTTTCCAGGAACAGAGGTTATCTGCTTCTGTATACACAAAAATATTTGTATTTTGACAGAGCGGACCAACCCTCAGGCGGCACTGTTGCCTGATCTGCTTCCAGAAAGGAGGAATTTCCTACTGCAACTGTAACTATGTGTCTTCAAAACCAGTCGTCTGCATATTACAGGCAAGCGCTACTGACCAGAGAACTGTTCACACCGCCCCTACGCTGCCAGTCTCTCACGAGTCCAACGTGCAAGCAGATGTAACCCAGGAAAAGCAGAGAGGTCTAAAGCTCTATGGATGAGCTCTGAGTCTCTGGCCTCCAGAAATTCATCTGGTCTGCACGTTTGGAGAGGTCTAGGGTATCAAAAGGTGGCGGGCCAGCACGCTCGGCAGGTCCGTAAGCACCCTTTGAGACAGGAGGACAGCACACGAAGGGTGGCACGTGGCTTCTTTTCTGTACTTTAGCACGTGGAGATGAGATGGCACCATCCACACCAAAAATGAGCATTGAGTGCTCAGCAGACCTCTGGTGACACTCTTTTGGCCCAGGCAACAGAAGCAGAGAGCTGACTGCCCAGGAGGGAACATGATCTCTTCTACCTTGATGATCTTACAGCAGAGGGAGGTGTCCACGAGGTGAGGAGCACTCTCAGGTTTGCTTTTCTTGGAGCCAGAGGAGGGCTTTTGTGGGGCATGTTGCCTGCCAGGCAAATGTGTCGGGGAGCTCACAGGACCGGAGAGAAACCCTTAAAAACGTTGTTGTGTTTTTTGGCTCTTCATTTAAATATCAAACAAATAGAACACTTAATTGTTCAAAATCGGCAGCAGAAGTCACAGAGACAGTTCCAGGGTCAAAATCAGAAGGTGATGATTTAAAGGAAAAATTTACTTTTCCCAAGAACCAGCCCCAGAGAAAAGAAAGCCTTAAAATTACTAACGAAAATAGCTAAGGCAAAACCTTCCGACAGGGCTGAGCAGTAAATACAAGAGCAGTAAATACAAGAGCAGCACAGGGCTGTGATGCAGTTAACACTAAGGAAAAAAATAGGGTGAGACTGCAGACGAGAGAAGGTGAGCTGGCTCTTACCCCCTTTGTATTGCACACGCACTACAGGCAAAGGGAGGGGGCTTGCTAACACACTTGCCTACATCAGACACTACATGTGGGTCTATTGCAATGATCCAAATATATTAACATTCCTGAAAGTCAAGGGTTGGAAAAATTAGCGCATGAATAAAATTTCCAAACATCACGTTTCCAAATGTAAAGATATCAGGCATTTTATAAGAAATGAAATATTACAGCACGGTCCCAGTTCAATCCTCTTCTCTGAAGTACTTTATTGTACTTTGGAAGGTAGTTCTTTCATCATGTACTTTAGCCAATACTTCAAATAGAAGACAACAATCCCAATAATACTATGCTGTAACTAGTTCTCTAGTCTTATTTAAGACCTAATCTTCTATTGTTTTATCAGTACCAGCCCATAAGTACTTGAACAAGTACATTCAGACATCTTGATATATCCTTTGAGAGGATTGTACTCAGAGGTCAGAATGAGAAAGACAGCAGAAAATAATGGGCTATTAACACACTTGAAATATTTCTTCATTTCTCGAGTGCCTTGCCCTCAAGTTACTTTTGTCTTCAGCAGCGCTATGCTCACGTGAATGTGTAACAAGGCTTCCATGGGCATTTATTGTTACCTCATCGAGTAAGTCTAACTCCTTTTCAATGAACCGCAGGGGAATCTGTTGCGGTTGGAACTGGAGAGGTTCACTCGTACCCTCCCTCATGGAAAAGATCACTAGATTTGGTGAAAGCAGCACTGAGGCATATACCTCAACACTTGAAAGGCTAGTTAGCTTCAAAACTTGACAGGCAGGGATCCTTATGGGTGCTTAAGGATGAGGTTAGCAAGCCACATCAAGCAGAAGTGAGCTATCGCTGCAGTGATGCTGGGCTTCGTTAAAAGAAATGCGTCTTCACAGTAGATCCTAAAGATACCGGGAAAGATGCACAGGCTTCATATATAGCCCAAAGCATATGCCAGGACTTGACTTGTATAGGTGTGCAGTGGGAGGAATAAAGCAGGGTAAAAGAACCACCAAATTAGAACTCAGTCAAATCAAATAAAATTCAAAATCATTCTCGTATTTGATAAGTAGCTTAATCTCTCATTCTGTGGGCATAGTTCAGACCTTCCAGTGTTTAAAAAGACATATCCAAACATATACAGAAGAACTAGATCTAAAGATCTAAAGCAAGGGGAAAATCTATATAATGAGAAATATCTGCAAGGCCTATTTCCTGTGAAACTATTTAATATTTCCTGAGGTAAAGGCTAAAATATAAATAGCACTGCATACTGGCAAAGATGAAGACACACTTAAAAATCTAAAAAGAAATCCTTTTGAAGACCACAGTGGGGGGGGAAGGAAAGAAAAGACAGCCTTTCCATTGAAAAATCCCCCAAACCCCAAGCAAATTGCTATAATACACCTTTCTGAATTATTCCTTCGAGGTCAAAACAGTCATTCAAACATTAAAAATATTGCAAGTTAGTGAAACACGATTTTTAATAAGGTCACTCCTGATGAACTTTGCCAAAAAAGATGGACTGAATGTTGCACTGAGGCATCACTGTCAATAGGAGAATTTATAAATAAGCCAATTCAATTTATAAACAAACCAAGTCAATTTTCAAACAAAACCACCTAGTATATTTGCTCTACAAGTATTTACAAATGCCCTTACAAAAACGTTTTGCTGGAAAAGGCCTAGCTGGCAGCAATGCATCCCTTGGTCTGCCAGATCTGAATCCAGTTGCAGCCTGATGGAATGAATCTAGCTTGCTTCATGGCTATCCAAACAGAACCCGATTTCTTTTCGTAGAGGCTGCTGAGGTCTGCCGTGCTGAGGCTGGTCTACCACAGCCACGGCGCTTGCCATGGTCCTGGGGAGAAGAGCCCTGAGAACATTCTCAAGACCAGTCTGTTGGCACCCAGCAGGTTCAGGCTGCTGCATTTTGCACACAGAGCTCAGGACTGGCACTTTCAGTACAACGGTACCTCGTACAGTACCCTCTTACGATGGCACTTAAAATGACAGACATATCAAACCATCAAACCTACTATTTTTCCCCTTTCACAACAGAACTGTAATATACATAAGCATTTTTTTTTAATGACAAGCAAAACCACACAATCTGCTCATTAAAATCCTTACTTCCACCTCTCCATGGGTGAGAAAGCCATGCAGCTGCAGTTTAACACAGCAAGACTGAAAAAGATGCGATTCCAAAACCACACAATTTTCAATTCCCGTGCTAGTCACAGGGCACAGAAATGACTACAACATCAGTCTCTGTACTTTGGGAAGAGCAGGGCAGGTGGAGGACTGCAACTGCAAACCATTGCCTTAGGCCTTTTCATTATCAAATCATACAGGTTAAGCAATTGGAAACAAATGTCAAACACAGAAAAGTAGCAGAGGGGAAAAAAAAAAAAGAAAAAAAGACAAAAACCACAGCAGAATACAAGAAATCCTCCAGCAAATCCCTACCCCAAGAGTAGGTGTTCTCTGAACTCTTTCTAGAACTGCATTCCTCTCTGGCCAACTAAACAAACATTAAATTACAAGGGAAAGCATGCAAGCTCCCAGGCAGCAAACTTGGAGGTGGATGCAGTAAGACCCCTGAAGGTGCTCTGTGCCAGAAGACTTTTGGAAGGAAACCTGCTGTAATTGCCTTTCTTTAGCATCTAAAGACTTTTGGAAGGAAACCTGCTGTAACTACCTTTCTTTAGCATCTTTTATTGGGCCTTTGCACCTGTGAATGAAAAAAAAAGGCATTGCAGCATAGTTACAAGCACAGATGAGTCTCACTCCTTTCTTGGAGCTTGCTGTGTTGCTCCATTCACTAAACCAGACAATTCTGTATCTGTTCTGAATAAATAATAATAAATAATGCAACCATCTGAAATAAGTTTCTAAACTGCGATTAAACGTAAATAATGAACAATGATTTCAAACATCCCGCTAACCACAGTATCAATTTTTATTAGGTTTCCACTCTCCCAGTCAATCTTTCTCCGGCTGGTCATAATAAAGCAACCAATTGTGAGTGATAGCAAGAGTAGCAGACACCAACCAACTAGGATGGAATAGAGGATGCCCGGTCGATCAGAAGGAGGCTGGATGTTTCGGTCCTGATCTATGGCTTGGATGGGTGGAGTGACACTGATGGGATTCACACGTGCCTGAAATGAAAAATCAGACAGATTTGAAACAGAAAAATTAGAAAGCCAGATCTTTAGGTTTAACACAAAACCACCCCACTGAAAAGGATATTTGCTGAAAATGCAGGAGAAAAAAACCTTCATTTTTAAGAATAGTTACAACACATGTCCCTTTTGAAATTGAAATTAAGTAGGCAACATATATATTTCCACAGCAACCTCCTTTCTTTTAGATACTTCTTTATACTATAATAGTATCTTCAAGGAAAGGAAGCTTGCAAACGTTCAAGCAAATGCTTGACTATGCTACTATAAATAGTGCCCTGAGCCAGACATTTCAAACATCATCACAGCAGTTAAATACAGCAAATGCTTTAAAAAGGGGAAATAAAAACAAATTGAATTTGAGAATCCTTATGAGGAAGAGTGGCTGTGATACATGAAAATATACCGCAAAAGAAATTCAAGCTAAGGTACAGACATTTCAAGGATAGGTACATTTGAAAAGTCTGGATGGACATTGCAATAATTCACACCGTTATTCAGAAGTGACCTTGCATGCCGAACATGGAACCGGAAAGCCAGAAAAAGCATTCGCAAGCTTCCATCTCGTTCAGTGTTTGTACATGCAATTCTTCACCTACCAACTTAATAGCATTCCTGTACTCACTAAGGCCCTCACTGTTGCTTTGAATATTTTCTGAAGTTTTCCTATGCCAATACACGCTCCAGTGGTAACACCGGAGCTGCCATTCCTAACTCTAACAGAACAGTTTCAGTAACCTTGGCTGCTTAATCAACTAGAAACATAGCTACCCCACGAATGTACGTGCGCCGGTCTTTTCCCTCCCCTTGGAACTTTTACTTGTGTGGCCAAATTAGTAACATCTATGAAAAAAGACACCTTCTTTCCACACACAACTAATCCTGGCAGCCTTTGCTTTGGAAAGCTCTAACGCTCCCTGTTCTGCAAGAGGGAACTTGAAATTTAGCGTGGGAATAGGAATGAGATAAGTCCACGCTTGGCCAAGTTTTGGCAAAGCCTTCAGAAATCCTCTTGCTGAGATTTGGAAGAAATCTGCAAGAGCTTTAGCAATGCCTGTCAATAAACCTAGAGGGAAAAGAGGCGAGCCAGGAGGAGGAGAACAAGACAGGAATGGATGCAAGGCAGTTTGCAAGAGGGGCGAGTTAACAGGCCCTCCTGTAATTTTGGATACGTAGCCAAAAGGTCACCTGCAATAACACACGCTATTCTGCCCACCCAGAAGTCACTTCCTACAGGTTACTGAGGTCTGGCGAGGCTTTTCCAGGCTCCTGAGCCAGGGTTTGCAGCCACGCGTGGTTACACAGCTCTCGGCTTTGGGAACAGAGCATCTGCCTCCCAACACGGGACCGGTACCTCCTCACTCCGCCTCTCTGCTCATGGCTTTTTCCACAGTTCCCAACAAGCAGGCGAGGTCCTTTGTCACACGCCTGTTTCCACATTTGACTCTCTAAAAAATTAAACTCTTAAAAGTGTAATGAGGAAGACGAGCTCGAAATAGGCATAAAGAAAGAGAGAAGAAGATATATTTGACATATGTTTGAATTTTTAAAATGCCTTAGGACTGCATAAAAGTTACATGCTGAGAGATAAGATTATGCATAAAACTGTCCAAAACTAAAATGCTATTTTTAAATTTACAGATCAATTGAAGCACTCAGACAAATCTACATTACAGTTAAAAACACACCGGCCACAACAACAGTCTCATTTGCTAAGGCCGGCTAGGTTTTAAACTCACCATTCAAAGCTGAAATGTCTGGGTCTATGCTCGAGTAACAGCGATGGATCTAGCCTTGTCAATAATGAGCTGTCAGCTGCACCTGACTGCTGAACTAGACTAACATAATAACTGTTGGATATGGAACTCAGTGTCCTGGTTTCAGCTGGGATAGAGTTAATTTTCTTCCTAGTAGCAGGCACAGTGCTGTGGTTTGGATTTAGTAGGAGAAGAATGTTGATAACACCCTTACGTTTTTAGTTGTTGTTCAGTACTGCTTATGCCAGTCAAGGACTTTGCAGCTTCCCCTGCTCTGCCAGGGGCACAAGAAGCTGGGAGGGGGCACAGCCAGGATGGTTGATCCCAACTGCCCCAAGGGCTATTCCATACCATATGATGTCATGGGCAGTATAGAAACTGGGGGGGTTGGCCGGGGAGCAGCGATCGCTGCTCAGGAACTGTCTGGGTATCGGTCAGTGGGTGGTGAGCAATTGCATTGGGCATCACTTGCTTTGTATATTGTTATTATTATCATCATTATTATATTATTGTTATTATCATTTTACCTTATTTCAATTATTAAACTGTTCTTATCTCACCCCAGGAGTGTTTCTCACTCTTACTCCTCTGATTCTCTCCCCCATCCCACCGGGGCAGGGGCAGTGAGCAAGCGGCTGCGTGGTGCTGAGCTGCTGGCTGGGGCTAAACCACGACACTCAGATAGCAAGGACATGTGCTTTACTTTCCAATTCAAGGAGAAGCTCAAGAGAAGCATTTAAAAAAACTGCATGTGAAATGGAACGGGTTCTACTTGAACAAAAGATACTTTATCCCACACTGCCACCATTACACTGATGACTCAGAACCAAAGCAATCAATTGAACAGAAGTTGTATAAGAAAACAAAGAAGTATAACAAAACCAAGACTGAAACGTGAAATCCAGTAAATTTTTATTCCATCTAAGTTGTTTTTCTAAGTACTGTACATACCCTGAAATGGGCTGCTCATAAACTAGACGATATCACGGCAACAAAATCAGTCGCAATCCACTGAGGTGTTTAGGGATAATTTAAAGCTGTTTTGAATTAAATAGGCTGATGTGCCTTGAAGCAAAGCTAAAGGTACTTTCATATTGTTTTAATAATCCATAGATAATGCAAGTATCTTTTTCATTTAAACTTAAATTAGAACTGTGAAAACATAACTGCACAAAGAAGGGGCCATTACGTATGTTAATGAATTTGTAAAAGCACGTGTAGGATCGTTTCTGAAGGAGTACATATACTTTCTATGAAAAATAATTACTTTAAAAATTTGTACTCAAAACATGCGTTGATCGATAGCAGTAATAACTATGATTATTACATAGGGATATTTCTTTCTTTCCTGAGTGCTTTGAAATGTGAAAGGCATGAATGGGTGCTCACAACACCCCCAGGTCCCTGTGATGTGGTGCTGCCCAGCAGCAAAGCTGTCGGGGCTCGTGGGGCCTGAGGCAGCTCCCCGGAGCCCATCTCGCTGGGACGGGGCCCCAGTCCTGCCCCAAAAGTTATTCCGCATGGCACAGTTAGCAGTTGTTGCTGGAGACCGGCAGACCACAACGCTACAGTACCCACCACCACCCTCAGAAGGAGGTTCAGGGAAAAGATGAGGGTTTGCTCAGCCCTTTGAGAGAGAGGACACGGCCACATACAGATAGAAGGTGGCTCCCGACTTAAGCAGAGGAGGCAGAGCCTCCTCACAGCTCTGCAGAGTGGGCATATAGAATCATAGAATCGTTTAGGTTGGAAAAGACCTTTAAGATCATCCAGTCCAACCATTAACCTAAACTACCTATGCTACAAAATGGGATCTGTGACAGCCACCGTGGTGTATTAGATCCAACATCCTCGCAAAAAAAACAAACAAAAAAAACCCCTATCACTGTTGTTCTCAGCCTCGAAGTGCTTCATAAAAAGATGGAAGCTCATTAAAAGGAAGGGAAAACAGATTACCGAAAGAGTGAAATGTTTGCGGGGCCCACAACTGTTTAAGGATGCTCGGCTGGAGGCAAAGAAAAAGCACACGGGATTTTTATTGAGGCAGGCTTGAGAAAGGGCAAGGCAAATCAGCACGGCGACGCAGCGGTGCAGGGAAGGTTACTCAGAATAAACAGACGGCCTTCTCCAGCCACTTCCAAGTGAAGAACATAAAAGGGTTTACAAGCTCTGGCAGTAGCAGGCGATTAAAAACCAAACAAACAAGGAGATCCTGTCAGTTCTAGGGTAAAATATGCAGTAATTTATTTCCTTTTCCCCATTAGGGAAGAGATCTCTCAGTTACTGGTTTTGGTATTAATAGACTTCCAGGTGCATCAATACACCGCCAGGCAGGCCAAAGAACAGAACCCAAACCCCAGCTTGCAAATGTTATCACAAGGATTAATAAATTAAAAAAAATAGATCCTTCTTCAAACAGAACCTTGACAGGAAGCCTGCCAGGGAGTCTGCAGGGCCAAGAGATGATCAAGTGAAAAAAAAAAAAAAAATTAAGAAAAGCTCAGGGAGAATAAGGTAGTAGGCACAAAACCCCCCCCCCCCCACCCCCCACCCCTTCTTTTGTGTTCACCATGAAAGGACTCTGATGGGTCCCCATGCCAGCACCTTCACCATGTGGGATGCCTCGCAGGTCCCGCAAAAACCCCATAGTGTTTAGAGACATTATGGACTGAACAAGCCAAATGAAGAGTAACACGAGGCCAAGAGCAGATGGGTTTCTAAAGGAATGCAAGAGCCAATCGTATCAACTTGCTGTGCTGTGTAATTTCCTGCTTAAAAGTGCTTTGGTACCTGAGGAACAGCAACTGGCAAACGTAATACCAAAATTAAAAGGGTGCCGGGCGACCCAGGGGAATACCACCATGAAGCCTGAGGCTCATACCAGGAAAAGTTAGCTGATGATATAATAACAGCCTGAGCAAACACACAAATAAATACAATACACCAGGGAAAGCTTGGTTTTCTGCAAAGGGATATCCAGCCTCTCAAACTTACTGTGGCTCCCTGCAGGAATCACTGGCACGTGGATACCACAGAACTGTTTCATATGGTGCGTGTAGACTTCCAGCCAACTTTGACAAGCTCCCTTACAAAATACTTGTAAGGAAATTTGGCCTCCACAGAAAACAAGCAAAGACCTGTGTTTCCAGAACCAGTTACGTTAAGAAAGATGAGGCAGAGCAGGAGTAAGCTTTCAGTTCCTGCAGGGAGAGAGGGGAG